TACGCCATATATTATGTGATACGTATATAAAATAAAATATATACGTATTGATGAGATATTCGGAGATGATAAATGCACGTCGTATAAATCATTTAATCACCAAGGATTGAGAAATGTTCGCGACGTAAAACGTCGAGTTTTTAATGACTCTATATTATTGTGGGCATAGGTATATATAATATATACAGGCGCTGGCGTATTATAGGTGATGCTGCTGTTAATGTTAGGTAAACCTTTCAGGCTACTCCTCCGCGATAATTATAATTCGAAGCAATTAAATTTCAAAAAGGTCAAAAACATAATAGAAACGCATTTATCACCGTCGCCAATCGTTTAATTATTATACGAAAAACAAAAACGATGGCTCCCTTGCGCATTAGATTGTCGTAATGGAATATTAGGTAATTTTATATTCAACAGATTTTACACGTTAAACTGTAGTTCATACACACACGTCACACACAAAATATAAAACAATATATAATAACATCATTATAAACTATGTATCTTCCTATATACATAATAATGTAAACATTTCATTACAAAAGTTATTATTCTGTTGTATGAAGACAAAACTTTATAACTATACGTACATGTACCTACCTAAAATAAAATAGATTCCAAGTGTTCCAACTKTAAATAAGGTTTTACTATTCTAGAGATTTATATCCTATTTATGTAATAGTAAGTTGTTGGATAAATTGATAACGATTGAATTTCAAATAAAATTAAGTTTTTTGTAAAAGGTAACTAATAATGATGTTTTTTTGACGATGAAATGTCACTAGTATAAAACAAGTAAAAAAACTCACTTTGTGAGCGTGCTAAATTTTCGGTTTTCAAATATATTTTAATTCAATACAACAAACTATAATTCGAAATATAATTTATTTTAAATTTAGTAACCTTAATATTTTGGTAGTATTTTAATTTTTTGGATARTATAAAAATTMTAATTGCATACTAGAATAATAAGTAGGTATATCATGAGATGTCAGCGCAGTATTAATTGTTTTCTTTCTCAGACTAATGCAACATAGATTATTATTTGAARTAGTAATTTTCAGTGATTATAGAACTTTTAATTTGTATTTAAAATAATAATAATTTAATAAAGTAATACAAAYGATTCTGGCAACTATAGGCACTTAGTTAAATGTGGTAGTTTTCATTTCTGATCATCTACCCTCTATTACAGCTTTTTTCATTCAGTTTTGAAACTGGTTCACTGAGTTCCCGTTTGGCTGCACTAGGTTTAGATGTCATTGCATTCGGTTCCGGTAATGTAGAACTTGTAGGTTCTGGTGTCTGTTCACCGAGTTCTGGAGACCCAGACCTTCGTTCTTGTTCCTGTTCCTCTATATTAGTTTCCGACGTAGRGACAAATGGTTCTATTGCTTCTGCGTTTTGATCTGATCCTGTAATTGTTGTATTCGGTTCCTGGTCGAGTCTTCTCGACGTCGGCGCAATGATATTATTGGTATACGGTTCCAAAAAACGAGCCTAAACAAAATTGTTATTATTCACTGATAAAATTATTATACAACTTTGCTATACCATATAGAAAGCCCATTAATAATAATCATTATTTGTGTATGAAGAATAAAACAGGGAATTATTTTTAAATTTTAGATTTAGGTACGTGAATATATTACTACAAATAAAACACAGACAGATTACAATAAAATATATTAAACAGTGGTAAATTAACTAAGTAATGTATATAAAGCTTATAACGGTTGTTWACATAGGAGCTAGAAGTATAGGGAGATACATGACAGTGGATATGTTTTTTTTTTAAKTATAAAGAGACATAGAAATTAATATTAGAGAAACGGTTGAGAGCCTCTAATGAGCAATTTAATAAAGATACAATATCATTGTGGTCAGTATCCGAATGGTTAAAGGATGAATGAGTGTGTATTTTTATTTTTTAGTGTACTACCTACGTAAAAAGGAGTAGTCGTGATGAGGTTGTTCGATTTTTGTAACACGTCCAACGTAGCTGAGAATTTATTTTTGATGCGTTCAATTCATAGATCGTCTTTGAACAGGTAAGAGTTCCAAACAAAAATCCTTTATTTTAGAATAGAAAGAACCAAAGGAAATTAAGYATATGAAAGCTGCAGTTGATCGAACCATAGATAAGTATAATATAGGATAGAACTAAACAATTTAGAATTATGTGCTTTATGAAACTTACATACATTGAGAGCCTTGCTTTGTAATATAACCTGATGGTCGAAGCTCGTGGAAAAGAATAACATAATAAGATCGATAGCAGCGAAAGATTTTTTTTAAATCAGTATAAATAATATCAACATGCCCACCATGTTTAGTAATTAGAGATACATGGGTTGTTTATAAAACACACAAAAAAAAGTATAATGATTGATGTATTGATTTATTAGGTCTAACCCCGTTTTGTTACCTATAACTGTATACTTTTAAGCTTTTTTATATTATACAAGAGTAAACACTTCGAAAAATAACTTCATCGAAGAAACGTTTGAAATATGATAATATTATGTAAGATGTGATATTAGATTTAGCCAAAGAGTAATAATAAGCTCTCTATAGCGTCTTATATTGTTTTCTTAAACAAATGTCAATTTAATTTATCATATCTTATGATTTAAAAACCCGGTTTAAAAATAAAATGTAATGGCTTTATTTTGCCCTACATAATTTATTAGCATATTGCAATAGATGGTGATGGTACAATAATTTTACTTATACAAACATCGTCAAAACTAATCTACCTTAATGGCAAAATACAATGGTTTGTGTTCTGCATTCCTTGCTTTTAGGTATTGCTCCGACATCAACGATATTGGGTGTCGTTTTTCTATTATCAACATATTATATAGATAATTTGGATCTAAAATCTCTCCAAGTTCATTGTAATTGATTTTCACTGGTGTTATTTGGTCTTTGACTTTACATTTTTCTAACCTGAGATGACGCTCGTTAATGGCGTACTGATTTYTTTCCAAGCAACTCTGGTGACTTATTATGGAACAACCGGTACATTTATAGACCAATTTTAGCACACTTATTTTGTTGCAATGTATACATCTATTCAAATGGGAGAAGTAGGATTTTTTAAAACTGTGTTCCGTATGCATTTTTATGTTGATAGATATTATGTTCAATAAATTTGTTTTAAGAATTATTAAAAATATTTATTTAATAACTGAATGTGATTATTGTATTTGAATAAACAATATTCGTTGCTATAAGCACTTACTAAGTACTAAGTAGCGAAAATGTACACAAAGAATCAATATAGTTCAATAATTTAAAAGTTTTTTTCTTTGAATTTCCACTAAATAAGTTTATTTTATTTATTTAATATAATACAATCAATGGAAAACATGATTTGCAAATATAATTTATTATTATTATTTTTATATTATTATTATTATTATATTATTATTATTTTTATATTATTATTATTATTATTATTATATTATTATTATTTTTATATTATTATTATTATTATATTATTATTATTTTTATTATTTATTATTTATTATCGTTTAAAAATAATCTTAATGTTTATCTTCGTATAACGCTCAACGGAACTTGTAGCATGGTTACTAARCTATATATATATTGCTGTTGCAGTTTGGGTGGGTTTGATACAACTGACTTGAAATAATTGTGCCAAGCAAGATCATTTTCTAAAAGTTGCAAACATGACGACAACTGCAGTCAAGTAATATGTCTGATGCACAATTCTTTCAGCCGTCCTCATCAGACTCTTAAATACTGTGTGACTATATTCACTGTAGATTAGTTGAAACAAACGTAAAGGCAAACGATTCCGAACCACTGCCGCAAAGTTTTACGTTTACGRTGTATACCTATAGTAATTATATTCATGGCTGATTTTAAGTAAACACTGTAAGTACTAAGTGTTATTTTTAAAAAGTAATAAAGTTTGGACGCCACCTATGTGAAATTTAAGTACAGTATAAATAGTCGATTATTTGCATTTTAATTTATCGTTTCACGTGAAAAATATGTTATGCCAATTTTATCCATTAAATAAAACTACCTTATTTTAGGGACAAAGCTTATGCAACTTTTATTAACGCAAAAATCAATTTGCCAAAGTTGTTATCTAAAATTAATTTTAAAGCACTTTCTCACTTCTCGCGTCATTTTGTCACATTCTACATGGCACATTCTAATGTTGCATTCTTATTATAACAAAAACCAACCACAGTGGCACGTTACAACCTAATTTAGACTATTCATTTTTTTTTTTTACTAAAAATATTAAATTATTTTCCATATAATTAATAATTAATTATATATGTTATTTAAAAATATAATTGTAAAAGTAGAAGAAAATAATAAGGAATACAGAGTTGTTAAAAATTAATTATGAACTATGTACCTCGGTTACCTGATCTTACGACTTACACCATGTAACAACTTCCTTCTGGGACATACCACTCATCATCTACCACTTAGCGGCTAGAAATTAACGGCGTCAATAACAATGGTCAACGAATATGCAATGAATGAATTTGAATTACGACTAGACGTTGCAATTTGTGTGCCCAAGAGAATCCATGTATAGAACATTTAAAGGTACCATTAAATTTAATTGAAATTTTTTTTTTTTTAATGTATCCACCATCATAATATGCATATATGTTACTTTAAACCTAAAAACTAAAAACATAAAAGCATTTTAAATTGGATGAATCATTTTGAATATCCCTGCATAATTAAATTCTAATAGATTCACAAAAATGTTGTTACGATGGGAATTCAATTTGGAACTAATAATGATATTACAAATGATTGTCAATTTTCTATACCTAATTAATGAAAAAAAAAATATTGTTTCGACCAATAATAACGACGGAAATAATTTTGTTAAATACTTAATCGTTACGTTTAAATTTTACTAATTTTAGAAATATACAAAGTAAACAATAAACTGAAGTTATACCCATTGATATTTAATTAATAATAACACGGATGCATTTGACTTTATCTACACATTACAGGAAGAGTTCTAAGAATKATGATGTCTCTTGTTATTGTCAAATTCAAAATAATGAACTTATCAATGTTAATAATAATCAAATTTCAGGAAACGTCCGTGATATACACTGGGCACGTGCATCTTCAATAAACCAAATATTAAATAATAGCTGTAAAATCGTTTTATGAAGTTGCTACATCGTGWTGGCAATAAATGRAAATCATATCTTATGTATTAATTTTTTGAAACTTGTCTGTTCATGTTTTAAGATATAATTTTAAAATTTGGAGTTAAGACCTGCTGATCCAATGAAAATCAAATCTATATTAGCTACCTAAAGATTTAAAAAATATATTAGTATTATCACGATAAATTATAGTAGATATTAACTATTTACGAATAGAAAATATGAGGGATGGATCTTAATTGCAAGTAAATAAAGAAAAACCGTGCAATTTGCATTCATTTCTTAAATGAATCTGTTCGAGTAACCTTTTATAAGCATCATAATATATATTATATTTTTATTCATTTATCATTAAAATATTATTTTTTTTTGTGTATACAAAGTTCTAAAATTCTTATATCTTTTAATAATTTTTTATTGATTCTTATCTAAGTTAATTTTTAACCTTAAAGTAATTATTATAAGAATTTGTTTATCAAGAAAAATATGCCTACACAAAAAATAAGAGTATTAATGTAAGACACTGTATAATATAATTACTAAATTTAATGAAAAGTTGTGATTATATTTAAAATAATTATGCAAGAATTTAGAATACAAACCACTCGAACACAGTTCCAATAAAACCATGGATTATAAAAAGTCTATTAAATAGTTTCAAAATAAGAGGTTTACTATATTCACCGTCAAGGAAAAAACCGTATGATTTAGCATAAGAGAAAAATTTAAAAAATAAAGAAATAATCTAAACAACATCCTTAATAAAGCTAAATTAAACTTTCATAGGAACAAAATTAAAAAATGTAGTAATGACCATAAAAGAATAATATGGACAACAATTAATGAAGCCATAAAAGGCCTAAACTATAATAAAAGTAATATTTTACAAATACAAACAGATAATAATATTTATACAAATAAAACACACCCTAAAAAAATTCCAAACTATTTCAATGATTATTTTGCTATTATTTTGTTAAATAATAATAAATAACTTTAAACAACAATGATGAAACAATATCCCACAAATCTATGTATTTAAAAAAACAAATCTAAAAGTGATTAAGATAAAAGATATTAAAAATATAATATCAGCTCTAAAAAGTGCTCTAACTGTTCCAGGACATGATAATATTTCCACTGAAATAGTAAAAATGTTTAAAGATGAAGCAGTAATGCCACTAGTTAAAATAATAAATTACATAATAAGCGATGGATAATCCATGACAACTTTAAAATATCAATAATAATACCTATATGTATATAAAAAAGGAAATGAGAATAACATAGAAAATTATAGACCGATAAGTCTCTTTATCAAAATAAGATTATTTAGGAGAAAATATGATACTTCCTCCAACTCAATTTGGTTTTAGAAAAGGATTTTGCACCGAAAATTCTATCATAAGGTTAACACACTCAATTTAATATTGAAATATTAATTAATAAATATATATATATATAATATATTAATATATAAGTACATAATTTAATAATGAGCTTAATGCTGAATAGGCACAAAAAAAAAGAATCAATTGGAATACTTATGGATCTAAGCAAAGCATTTGACTCAGTATGTCATAATAAATTAATAAAACTGCTCAGTAAAATAGGTAAATTAAAGGAAAAGCTCTAATATTATTTAAATCATACTTAGATCGCAGACTACATAAAGTTAAAATAGACGATATCATAAGTGAGAGAAAATTTATGACCTGTGGTGTACCTCAAAGCACAGTATTATCTCCGTTATTATATATAATATATGTTATGGAATTATCTGATTTAAAAATAGAAGGGAATCTATATTCTTATGCAGATGACACTGCACTAAYTGTGACTGGTGATGCATGGCAGTCAGTAACTAAAATAGCAGAAAATCCTTTAAGAAAAGTAACTGAATGGTTCTCTAATAATAATTTATCATTAAATTATAATAAAACCGTTAGGTTTACCTTTTCAAATTCAATTAAAACATCACCTATTATCTTCAGTATAAAAACCCACCACCCAACATGTATATCCGCTTCACAATGCAGCTGTAGAATTGTGAACAAAGTATATAAAGTGGATAAAACCAAATATTTAGTCGTCACTTTCGATCAACATTTAAGATGTAACCTTTACATATTAGAGATTAACTTGAAATTACACAAACTATACACATTTTATAATATGGCAAAACACTTTCTAAATATACAGTGGCTAAAAAATACATATTATACTTAAACATAGTCCCTAATAGAATATGGAATAGTAGTTTGGGGAAGTGCGACACAAACCCATATAAATTGCATTCAGATAGCCCAAAATACCTCCCTAAAAATGATATATCACAAGTCTAGGCTTTTCCCTATTAAAAATGTATACTTGAAGCCAACATACTAACGGTAAAATAATTATATTATAAAAAACCTCTAAATTTTATATCAAGAAAAAATTTAATACAACCAACCATTCAAAAATATAAGGTACGAGGTCTATAAATATAGTATATCCTAAAATAAAAAGAACTAAATTCTATTTCAGCTATCTAATAACTGGATTGAAATTATATGATAAGATTCCTATTATACTATAAAAAATTCTCAAACATCAGATATTTTTAAGTTCTTAATAGAGTGATATGACTAACGAAAAAAATCCTTGGATAACTTATACAAATATTCTGTAATCTTTTTTTTCTTTTATCTAACATTTATATTATATCATATTATTATTATTATACTTAATCACGTTATTTATTTCTGTTATCATAATACTTAATACAGATATATATACATACATATTATGTATGTATGTATTATTATTTTATGAATATTTTTTTCTTTTTGAGACTCATGTCTATCAAAACAAGGAAACATCTTTAGTGATAGACGTTGCAGTGTAACTCTAAAATATGAATATTATATGAAAGTAATTTAAAAACTGATAATAAATATTCATTATTATTATYATTACAGAATAAAGTTTAAGCAAAATGTCCGTTCTTTCATTTGCAGACTCAGGGCGATAGTATAGACGAATGGAAACTCAATATTTTATTTCGAGTTCAATAGTACCTGTACAAAGTAAATAAAATGATGACGATGATACAAATTCAACGTACCTATATAATTCACATGATGGCAAAGGGCCCATGCCATGAATTTGGACTACCCCTTTTAGAGATGGCATGTAAATCGGACACTTTTTTCTTTTTATACTTGGCATGCAATTCAGCTGCATCAAATACGAGCGAGGGAATACAGATCAGACCGTCAGACATATCTGATCTGTGAACAGTGACCGCCCTCTGCTAAACGAACACACTACATAGTCTATAAAACTGGACCGCATAGGTATCAAATAAATAAGTATATGGCTCTTTCGGGTCAACATATTATAACGATGTATACAAAATTTACCTAGGGAATCGAAACTGTGTTCAATAGTCGTGGGTCGTCTTGAACACCAGTCCGTGGATTCGTTACATATTTAGCTGGTTTCCGATCCCCAAGACATTATATAATATCGAAACAGCTATAAAGGAATTCCCACACCAAAGACCTTCAATTTCACATGTCCAAAAATTTAAACCATTCAATACAAATAMTTCTACATATACGATATATATTTTATAACATAATAGCTAATTATACACCGTATTTTTTTTTTATTCGAAAGAAATAAAGACTTAAACAACTTATATAGGTTGAATGCTATATTATATTCAATTTTTAGGTAGGTTCATTGTTTTTTTTTTATCGTATAGACGATAGAATTTCATTTTTAAACTGTTTAATGCAGAAACATTAACTAATTATTAGTATGATAAAAAAATKTTTAAGTAATATGATACGCAATATGAAATGTGTAACCATAGTTTATAATGTGGCCGGAATATGTACACTATTGTACTTGGACCATAGAAAATCAATAACCAATATTGACGAAAAATATTTAATTTAATTTTTAGGGTAGTCACATTGAAGAAGTGTATATACTTACCTATGTTCCATATGGCACGGTAATCCGGTAATGGTATGTCTTTTTTTTATTATTATTATTTTTTTTTTTTTGAGGAAGAAGAAGATGAAGAAGCAATATCGGTATAACAATATGTTGGTGTTGTTTTATTTTTTTTGAGTTTTTTTAAATTTAAATTTATGCGTTTAAACAAACTTGTCTGTTTTCATAAAAAGCTTGAGTAAATGTCATAATTGTGTTTCAACTTTACCTTTATTAGAAATTTACCTCATTGTATTTTCTAAAAGGAGATTATACAGAAAGGATTGGGTGTTATAAAAATAAAAACTCCACGAAAATGGTTGTTTAGTTTTTAGTTGGGATTAAAACACATTAAACGAAGTATTTTACATTTTGCCCTTTACAAAAAACATAAATATGAAATGTTAAAATRAATTTTGCGTTTTTTAGACGTTTTATTGTATTTAAGAATTGGTTTAGTTACGTAAGTGTAAAACGTAAAACCTGGGTAGTGAAATATTATAAAACCACATATTATTGGAAATAGTTATAATAATAATATTATACAGTTATTTTATTGATTACATTTTATCGAAATTTGTTCGTGAAACTATTAATTGATTTAATTAAATTATAACCCCGCCATGCCATATACGTTCGTTATTTTGATACATTATTATTACATTATTTAAAATTATATAGTAGCTGAATATTTTTTTCACGTACTGTACTCTTTAGATTACGCCATATATTTTACCATRGTTAATTAATTTTGATCAAAACCAATTAAACATTTTACAAATAACTAATTTCAGATTACCCATATTACTGTATATTCAATTTTTAATATATTTTATCATGATGCGAAACGCAAGTACACTAAATTTTCGAAATAGGTAGGTACTATACAAGCAAACGAATATTATGGTTTTCTTTGGTTCAACTATAATGTTATGATATAATATATATTTTTGATTTTATTTTGGAAGGTTGTGGGTARACAATCAATTGTGTACCCACTGTATAGTTATTTATTAGCAAGTACATTTCATATTTTCACATGATGCTGGACCGCTAAAGCTGCAAGCCGTTTGATGACTGGTGATTTGTAATTTACCGTTTCGCAGAAATKTTATACTCATACAACTCGACCACTTGGTTATCACCGACACGCCATACCTATACTTAACACAATAACACGTGATAATAACAATAATAATACGATCCATTATGATCACGACGTTCGTGGTTATCAAACAAAGAGTACTAATATTAAAATAGTAATAGTAATAATAGTAAGTGGCCTAGCTGCAGAGCTTTGAACTGAAAACTGGTTTGGGACGGATCGTTCTAAAATCCTGKCTACAACTCGAGATTAGCCAAACACGTTAATTTAATTTTTTTATTTAAGAATATATTTTCTGCCCGAGTAGGTACCTATAATTTCTTAAAACAGTGAGTGTATAAACGGTTTGTGAACTGCAATCGCATAAAATAAATAAGAACTATCGTAGGTAGATATATAAAATAATTTAACTGATAGATATAATAACAAATTTTTTTACACTTGGTTTTTTTTTCTTACAATACATTTAACAATAATGATATATATATATATATTTAACAAGGGGAGTGTGTTAGTCCATTAAAACGGAGTGAATTCCGTTGAATCTTTGCCAAATGTGGAAATTAGGTGGAAAAAAAATACGAATTTCATTGTTCCCAAATGAGTTATGAAAGTAATGGTAGCCAGTTTCGGTAATAAACTATTTGGGTTTAATCGCGTATGATTTATACTACTATATAATATACTAAATATATATATATATAGTATTATTTTCTTTGGAAAAAAAAATGAAAACATAAAACTCGTAATTAAAAAACGGTATATCATCGTGTATATAATAAATGCTCAGAAATTCGATGTAACACAATAATAATAATAAAACCTCTATAGTAGGTACATAATTTATAGTTCACCGTTATTTTATGATCAAAGATTGAATAATATTATTATTAACGAGTAGAATTTTTTTAACGAGGTTTTATGTTTTATTGCATTTTAATGCGACAAGTGTTCGATATAATATAATATATTGTATGTATTTAGTCCATAGAGGTTGTATGGATATACTTCAACCGTTGATTCATAACGATTAAATCAATGCAGGCTCAACCAAAACACGACGTAAATACGCACCTAAATACAAAGCCATAGACACAACAGAGTATTACATAAAATATATACTATTTTAAACAAAGTTCATTTGTTTTTAGTAAAAACTTTAAATAGTAATGTTTGAACTATAATGGTATGGGAATCTATAGATTTAAATAATCGATTATGATAATCCAATTATATAGCAATATAAAAACAATGTAAATATTATGAACTCATAAAAATATTCAATGTAAATTCGGATTTCTTTTTCACTATATATTCAAAATGATAATACAATTTTGTCTTTTCGTCTTTTCTCTTTTTATTTTTTTAATTTTCTCAAACCTTTTAATCTTAATTAACTCAAAGTACCATCTGCGTTCAATTTCCAATCGATAGACATGTCTTATGAAACTTTCKGAGTACTTCACTGTTTTTAAAAGGGGTTTTCGAAAAAAAAAACATTAATGTAAAAGCAATAAGTTCCTTGCCCCTACTTGAGAATTTTAAAGCAGTTATTAAATGCGTATAGCTTTTAATTTAAAAAATAAAGTGAAATAAAATAAATTGTCGTAATCTTGAGAAAATTTATTGGACGTACAATAATAAAAACAAGGTACTCAATTAGAAATGAAAATAAATAGGGATTATTAATAAAATACCGTGATAAACATTTATCAAGGAAATGTTGTAAAATTTAATTATTGTATCAAACCCTTTAACGACACACATAAATCGTTATAACATATAATCGTTGAAGAATTTATAATTTTTCAAATACGTCTWATCTTAAAAGCAATTCGATTTATCTCCGTACCGCTTGGTTTGAATAGATATTTTTATAATCTGGAAAACGTCCTTATACACTTAGGATTATTCGCTAACGTGCAGATCATAAAAAACGGTTCATATAATATAAGTCACAAATACGAAATCAAAAAATGTTTACAATATAGAGTCGTAATGCGCCTTACTCCGAGACGAGATTACTCATCAAATGATAAAAATATATGAAGTTGATTGAGAAAAAAGTAATAAAAATCTTAAAGTGGTTTCAAAAAGAGAAGGTGCATTGACTTTTCTTTGAAAATATCTGAAATAAAGGCTGTGCGTATTAAATTAAAAGAAAATCAGAATTCAAGTCAGATGTTGTTGATGTCTGAATATAGTAAAATATAATAATCAAATCACACACTTTTTAAGAATATTTATAGAGTTTTTCAGGGAGTGACATTAAAGTACCCACACACACCACCACACACACTCACGCGCGCGGAGTTTGAGAGGATTTTTGGCGTAGGTATAATGTAAGGACCATTATTTATTTTTTTCAAATACTGAGTAAGTTTTGGTGTTTTTTATGCATTTTCATGAATATTTAGACTGAATTTAAAAAGGTAGAAGCATAATATGCGCAGAGGTCGACATTTACGAACTCGTGTGCAATATAATATATTACAATTTCAATTCACCGGCTTATAATAATCCGTGCAGAGGTTAGGTCTCAATATGCCAATTTATATAGCTGTACTTAATTATAAATAATTAAATGAGACTGTTAATTTTTTTTTTTGACCGTGCAAAAACGCATTTAAAATGTATCTCAAGCCAACATAATTAACTTTGAATGTTTAAAACCTAATTGTCGCTCGAACAATATATAAATAAATAAATAGATATAGCAGACGGYTTATGTCTAATTATGTAGTTATTCGCTATTATTTTTGCTATTTTTGTTTTATTATTGTAATTTTTATTACCGTTTATTCATCGTTAATTGCTTTAATTTAACGGGTTRCAATTAAAATGTAAAAATCGTGTAAATAATTAAACTTCAATGATTTGTTGTCATTAAATTTTTTTTCATACACAAGTCAGTAAATACTACCTGCGCATCGGTTAATCAACAAATGCCCTTTACAACACTGTGTACATTTTTTTTTTTTAAACATAATTCGTTGCCTATTGTGTTATATATACGTTTATTCGTTTATAACGTTTTGTTATCCCAGTTATGCTTTAATAATTATTGTGTTATTGTACATGACAAACGATGTCACAGTGATTTTAACGTTTATTGTTTAAAGTCGTACTTATAAACCAGCTATAATAACCGTAAACGAGATATCGTCAGAGAT